TTTCTTTAACTTAGCCTTTCACAAATAATAACCTATGGGTAGTTATATTCAGTTAATGACTAGTTGGTAACTTATTTTGATCTAAAACTCCAAAATGGAAGATGCAAATTCTCAAGCATATAAAAAGAATATTGCTTATATGCCAGTATTTTAATCATGATTTTTTTTAGCAACTTGAGTTTGAAAAAATTACTTTAAATGTGGTCATTTGAATTTTTATCTGTTTTGTACCTATTTGGTCTTCCTAAACTCAAAGTAAAATCAGTCAGGAGTTCCAAACCTTTGAGACTCTACTTGGATTTTCCCCCAAAGATAGCATTTATCTCTAGTTGTAAAGACTGACAGAAACTGATCAGGACAAAGGGGTTTAAATGGCCATGAATGAAAGAGTAGATGATAGAAGATCTTAAATAATAATGAAGAACGCACAGGAACTGTCAAGGAAGGGAGAGGAGTCTGTTTAAACACCATGTAAAAAAATCAGACATGGAGAAAGAAATGTACAACCCCAGAAACTCATGCGAATTTGCCTTTGGATAATTTTCATAGATAAATGGCTGAGAGGCTCAGAGGTAAAGAACATGTGTTGGGTTCTAGCCTAGCACCATGAAAAATAAAAACAATGTAATACAAGCAGTGGAAGCTGGGTGTGGTGGTACGCACCTGTAATCCTAGCATTCAGGAAGCTGAGGCGGGAGGATCACTGTGAGTTGGAGGCCAGCCTGGCCTACATAGCAAGGCCCTGTCTCAAAAGGGGGAGGGTTAACGTAGCACTAAGAGATGTTGACAGTGGATTATAGATGTGATAAAGAAGAGTGTTAATCAGTGGTGGGAATGTACATCTTTCCCTGAAAACTTGATATGTGAAACCTAATCAAGTTGGGGCTCTAAAGTGCTCCATACAGAGGATCCCTGTTATGGCTTGTGTCAAGATGTCCCCCCATAGCCTCATGTACTCTTAGGTGGGGATTTTTGGTGGCTGATGTAGGGTTTGTAGTGCTGGGATCAAGGGTTTGACCCTAGGATTCAGGGTGTGAGTGCTTCTGGTCCTAAGGGTAGGTGGCCTGGATAAATTATAAGGGACAGAAAGTTCATCAACTGGTATTCCTTGCCTGCTGTATGACACCCTCTGCCATGCCACCCTACCTTGGTGACAGCTGATTAGGACTGAAACCTCTGCAAACTCTGAGCCAAAGTAAACTTTTCCTGTTTTAACTTTGGATGTTGGATATTTTTTGTCTCTGCAATGAGAAAAGGTAACTAAGACCCACCTCAAGAGCAAACTTTGTTCTGTGTGCAGGGATCTGGAGTTGGCTAAGCTGCTATCAATTTGCATCAGCTGCAGTCCAGAGAGCCCTCAAGCTGATAAAGGGATTTTCTGGCAAGAAACTGGTGACAATCACTGCAGAATCTTCAGGTGAGTACAGGGCTCAAAGAGAGAGACTCATCGTTTTATGTTTTTTTTTTTCCTTAATTTTTTTCTAAATTTTTTTGGCAGAAAGCTTAAGGCTTTCCAAAATAGATGTAATAACAAGTGACTTTGATAAAAATCAGGTAATTATTTTCAGTTTATTTGAGCTACAGAATTTTAATCTCTACCATCATTTTGAAATTTAGAACTTGATGTGTTATTTTGCTTTTATGTTATTAATGTATCCAAATGTTAACTTACAGAGGGGAAGTCCTAGGTATCCTACCTAGTTTTTCTTTTGTCTGCCCCCGCCACCACTGGTACCCAGGATTCGCTTGGATCCAGGCGGTGGCACCACTGAGCTAAATCCCCAGCTCTGTAGTTTTACTTTTGGCATCACAGGACTCAAGACTTTTCTAGAAGCAATGGAAAGCATCATAGGATGTGCAGAACACTATGTCTTTAGGAATGTTAAATTGCAGCTTTGGTGTTTAAAATACCAATAGAAAATCTGGTGATGGCTGTGGAAATGCGACGGTAGTGACTGCACTCGCACACCAAAAATGAGAGGGTTTAATGCTTTCAGTATGGTCAAGAAGTGGAAATTTCAGTTAGACTTACTTATTTTAAAGGCACAATGTATTACATAGTACAGTCTTTTGTAAACTTGAGATGTATGCATTTCCAAATGAGGTGGCTTTGCATATTCAGTCTGACATAATTATGAAGTATGTTCTTCCATACCCATTTTGTAATGTCAATTTTACAAATTAATTTTTTTAATTTAATTTTTTTAGAATTTATCCTAGACTACTTTTATTTTTAATATTAATCACTCACAAAATTAGTGGAGGTTTAAAACAACTTTCTTGCCTAAAACCATTTGAAAGTGAGTTCTATCAATGCAATTATGGAATCATTTTTTATTCATTTTTATTCATTTTTCTGGTTTTTTTTCTGTTGTTTTTGTTTGTTTGTTTGAGACAGGGTCTCACTATGTACTTGTGACTGACCTGGAACTCATTATAGCCCAGGCTGGTCTCAAACTCATAGCAATCCTCCTGCCTCAGCCTCCTGAGTGCTGGGATTACAGGCATGCGCCCCCACACCCAGCTTTCTGTTCTTAATATAAATGTTACTTTTATCTTGGTTACTCTCACCATTCTATTGTCTGTATTTTCATTTTCTATGGAAATTGAGATTATTGTCTGATTTTGTAATCATCTCAGCAAATTTTAGCTTACATTCATTTTAATCTTCACACTTGGTTTATTTCACAACTTTAAACCTTTCACAAGTTTTAACATTTTTGTGTGAATACCTGCATTTTTCTTTTATTTTCCCCCTCTCAAGACTGAGCATTGAACTCTAGACCTTAGTCATGCTAGGAAAGAATTGAGACACACCTGAGCTCCATCCCCTACCCCATTTTATTTGGTAATTTGAGACAGAATCATGATAAATTGCCCATGTTGCCCTTGAGCTTCCAATCCTTCTGTCTCAGCCTCCTGTGTGTGCCGCCATACCTGGATCAATTTGTATTCACTATAGAAGAATTTTGCAAATTTTTTAACAAATCACAAATTTTAATACCTCGGCTATTATTTATTTGCTCTTCTATCTCAAATATGACTATGCTTTAAATTTTCAGAGTATTTTATCTATTATTTTCCGATGTATTATGTGACATTATATAATCAAGAACCTGAAGCCAGGTGTAGTAATTACACACCTGTAATCCCAGCACTTATTCTCATAACTCTCTTGTTTTTTTTTGGGGGGGGTGTTGAGACAGGGTCTCACTATGTAGTTGAAACTGACCTGGAACTCACTGTGTAGCCCAGGCTGGTCTTGAACTCACAGTGATCAGGCCCCCAGTGCTGGGATTATAGGCGTGCAGCACCACACCCGGCTCTCATAACTCAGTGTTCTCCTTAGAATGATCTTGTGATCTATTATTGAGCTTCACATGATCCAAATTAAGTACGCATTTATAAAATATTAAATATAAAACCCAGTGTCAGCTGAATGGATGATGACTTAGAAAAATTTGCATGGAAACTCCAGAAATCAAAATACAATTAGAAGGGAAAGACAAATGATACTTAAAGAGATAAAGGGAAGGTAAAATCTTGAGAATGAGTATTTAAATATCTGAGAATGTTTTTTGTGAACTATTTAATTCTAAGTATTGTATAACAGGCTATATAGCCTTTCAAAACTAAAAAAATTAGCTAGACGGGCATGGTGGCTCACACTTGTAATCCCAGCACTTGGGAGGCTGAGGCAGGAGGATGTCTGTGAGTTCGAGACCAGCCTGGGCTCCATAGTGAGTTCCTAGTCAGTCTAGATTACATAGTGAGACCCTGCCTCAAAAAAAAACAAAAAAAACAAAAAAAAAAACAAAAAAAACCCAATAAGCTAGAATAGTGAAGTTTTGGTTTTTGTTGTTATTTTTGTAGTGCAATAGCTCAAACTCTCTGCTGTTTCCAGCCAAGATCTTTTTCTTCATTTATTTTTTAGACAGTGCCTCACTATGTAGTTCAGGCAGGCACTGGACTCACTATGTAGCCCCTATTGGCCTTGGAATAAAGCCCTCTTGATTGAGTGATCTCATGAAACATGCACCAGCCATGTAATACTAGGACAGACAAGATAGGTTGGTAAAAAGCAGCCATCTGGCTTGCCATTACTAAAGCTCTTTTAAGTGGTACAAATTCAGGAGAGAATTTATGGGAGAGGTAAAACTATCATTGAGGTTTAAGAATGAAGAAAAGGTAGCCAAATAAAATTGTAAATGTTAATAATTCTTGTGAAATTCTTACCACTTGCGATAAGAGTGTGTATAGTGCATTAAATAGAATGTATTCACACAAACAAGGACTTTAAGACTCTAAATCACATATTTCCTACACTCCACCAGTAAAAGACTTCAGGTGGAGTCATGTCACGGGAGTCAATTAGCTTGTCTTTTTGTTATTTCCAGCTCCAAGACTGCACATTTAGTAGTAGGTATCTGGATATTTGGGGTGTCTTTACAAAGTGGCCAGAGTTATAGTGAAAGTCCTCCTTTTTTAGCATTCTGTTTGTTTTACTTTCTATCCTCAAGGGCTTTGTATCATATTAAGTGCATTCAGTTCTATTTAAGAAAGTTCTGCTGAGATTTGCCAGTTTTCCAGGAGTGGGGCTCTGGAGATTTTGAATTTTGCAAGTACAAAATATAAAATGCAAGCATGAATTTAATATCAGAAGTATGACAATTTTCTATTACATTGTTAGGAGTGAATTAATTGTACAAGGGACACATCTCAGAGGACACGTGATTATTTTTTTCATTAACCTCAATCTTTCTTTCTCCTCAGAATCACAGATTTGTACTTAAAGGAGGACTTTTAGAAATATATTACCTGGGCTGAGGATTTAGCTCAGTGGTGCCATCACCTACCTCACAAGTGCAAGGTCCCAAGTTCAATCCTCAGTACCAAAAAAAGAAAAAAGAATATATTACCTGCTGAGTGAAGTAGCTGAACTTCTATTGAAGTATTTGCACAACTCAGACCTTAAAAGTGTCCGAAAATACAAGCTTGAGATGGAATCACTTCATAGGCGGGGCCACTGGTCCAAGAAAAACATCCAGAGCTTACTGGAACGTATGCAAAATAATCTCCTGCGCAATGGCAACGCAAGTTCCCAAACAACCCAGTCACATTTGGACTGGGAGAAAATAGCTTTTAAAGATTTTTCTGCAGAAATGTGCAAACTCAAATGGACAGAGATTTCCTCCAAATTAAAAAAAATCCCGCCACTGACAGAATTAGTGCTCCAAGCCAAAGAACTTTTTAAAAATCACAATAGAAACAATGAATACAAAAAATATCCAGATTTCCCTAAAAGGCCATTGACTGCTTATATCCGATTTTATAAGGAGCAGAGGGCTCACTACTCTGCAAAGCACCCTGAGCTGAGCAATCAGGAGTTAACCAAAATCCTAGCTGAGAAATATAAGCAACTCCCACCGCAGACAAAGCAGAAATATATGGAGGAATTTCAAAAGGAGAAGCAGGAGTTTGAAGAAAAACTGGCTGAATTCAGAAAAAAATACTCTGATCTATTCCAGAACTCCAAAAAACTTGATGGTTCCAAGAGGCGCCGAACCAAAGCCCCAAAGAATGTACAAGGAAATGTGAAAAGTCAGAGGTCTCCTTCAAACACTGATGATTTTTGTAAGACTTTAATATTTCATAAAGAGCCCCCAAAACCCCCCATGAATGGATATCACAAATTTCATCAAGATTCATGGTCAAGTGAGGAGCTACAACATTTGCCCCTGAGGGAGAGAATGGTAGAAATTAGCAGACGCTGGCATCGTGTGCCCCAGAACTTGAGAGAACAGTATACAGAGCAGGCTGAGGAGCTACAGAAACAGTACAGGGTGGATCTGGATCTCTGGCTTAAGACTTTGTCACCCGAGGAATACGCTGCATACAAAAAGAAAAGCTACGGTAAAGGTACGAACATGACCATGGCAGGAGGCACAAGCCCCAAGTTCCGAAAAGTAGACCCGCCATCCCCACCAGCCCAGCAACTGCCAAAAGTACTTAGAAAGGAAGAGGGGATGGAGGCTCTAGAGACAGATTCCTCAGAGACAATTCAGAACAACTATCACCATGCACAGGGATCAAAAAGGAAAATGAGGGAAGATGGGGAAGAGGATGAAGGGAGCAACTTGTCAGATTCCAGCAGTGGAGATGAATATGAAGATGGTAACTGATCTTTCTCAGCAGACTCCTCGAACATCTGAGCTTTGTTCACATCTATCTTAAAGTGTTAGGGACAAGGGAAAAAACGAGAACCAAGACCTGTTATGTAAAGGTACAAGATCCCAATGATGAATGTAACTGTACTGTATCCCTAAAATGTATAAAATTACACTCAATGAGAAAAAAAAAATTAAAGCGTTAGGGAATGCCTGCCGAATTCCAGGGCATCCATGTCAAAGGCTGGGAACTCTTCTTTCAGCACCTTTTTCTTCCTACTTTTTACCCTTCCTCTTTTCTCTCAGTACAAAGGAGTATAGGTGGGAAGGTGGGAATTCAAAACAGTACTTTCTATATGGATAATATTAACCTCAGAAGAAGTAGTCCTTCTGCTATGAGTATATATTAGTATATACAAATGAGTATATATTAGCTGGCATTGCCCCACATTATACCCCAACACCATGTGGAAATTATTGCACTTAATTAAATCTGTTGATATAAACATTGAGGTGATCAGGCTGTGGGAAGTGGGCCACAGCAGCCAAGAGTGAGTGGTTCTGAAGTTTTTCTCTCATTTTCTGCTCTTCTGTGGTTGTACAGGGTCATCCTTGAGCTTGTGCCTTTTGCCCTTCTCTGTGGAATTTTCCCTCAGGATTCTTGCCCACTGAATCTGGGGTGAGTCATTGATGGGTCATGGGGTAGGTGATTTAAGAAAATCTACGAACTCCTGGCATCTCTCCCTTCTCCTTGGAGTCAGCAGTTGACCATTCCCCATCCTTGGAGCTGACAAACTTATGCAGTTGGCAGTATTTTTGTAGATATTAACTATAGTGTTTAGCTCTCAGCTCTCAATAAGACTTGTCACTAACTTCAAAAATTAGAAAAAAGCCAGGGATTTAGCTCAGTGGTGGTGCCACCTGCCTCATAAGCACAAGGACCTGAGTTTGATTCCTGGTACCAAAAAAAAAAAAAAATCTGTAAAACTACTTCTGTGTCTATAAAACTACTTCTGTATTTTATTTGAATAAGTTCTGTAAAACCACACCTGTATTTTATTTCAATAAATTCTTGCACAGAATCAATATTTTATGACTTTGTGTACTGCTTTGGTAGTGGCCTCTGAAGTTATCCTGAGCAGAATAAATGCTTCCTACTGTCCCAGGTCAGTGACTCTCAGGTTTATTTAACATTAATAAACATATAGAAAGGTATAGACATAGATAAGACAAAGCAACACTACCTGATCTGACTTCTACCCATACATCATCACTATCACGGCTTTCATTATTTGGGTGTACTAGTATTTTTGAAAATATATACAAGGCCAAGAGTTTTCTCATAATTTCCTACTTTCTATTTTGTTCTCGTGGGTTCTAGAATAATTAGTTGTATCACTTGCATATGAAAATATGCATTTTGAGTGTTTAATTTATTCCAAATGCCTTAAAATTTAATTTTAACATATATAAAAACAAAAGTGTTAAACATATTAACGTGGTAACATTTTCAGTACATATATGCATTGTACAATGTTTAAATCAGGTTTAAGCGAGGTTCTCAATTATTTAATATTTTATTTTGGTGAAAACTTTCAAAATTATTTTTCCTCACTTTTGAAATTGGATTCTTCTTGTTCCTAAATATCTTAGTGAGGTGTTTATGCAGGCTGTGGTGTGTAAAGATTTTTTACAAAATAATGGTGATATGTGCAATTTTATTTTAATGTCCTTTGCTTTGAAATGTATTGGGCTACCCTAAATAATGGCAAGTTTTAGATGTATAATCTTGCCTTTCTCATTCAAGCTAAGGTTGATAGGATTTTTAACAATGAAAATATGCTGCACATGCACTTGAGATAAATTGTAGGATACAATATTTAGAAAATGTCTGTTTGCTTATATTCTGGTCAGTTTCATTCCATATAGTTTATTTGTTAAATATCTGTTATCATACATTCATGTAATTTTTTCTTACAGGTCAGGGATCTCCTGAGCAATAGAACTCAAACAGAGAATTTAGATGAAGGCAGTAATTCATTTTTCCTTTAGAGCTTGAAATACTTCACTCCAAGCCCTCCTTGACTTAATGGTTTGTGTTCAGAAGTCTGCTGTGATATTTTTCCCCCCTTTGGTTTTTGAGACAGGGTCTCACTATGTAGTTGAGACTGACCTGGAACTCACTATGTAGCCCAGGCTGGTCTCGAACTCACAGAGATCCTCCTGCCTCAGTCTCCTAGTGCTGGGATTATAGGTGTGTGCTGCCACGCCCATCTTCTGTGTTTTGATGCTTTTTCCTATATAGGTGATTTTTTTTTCTCTAACAGCCTTAAATATTCTGTTCTTGTGTTAAATTTCTGAAATCTTGACTATTAGATATCTTGATGAAGGTTTATTTTTAATCATGGCTAATTGGAGTTCTATATGCCTCATTAATCTGTATATCAAATTGTTTTTCCTTGTTTGGAAAACTTTCTTGCCTTCTGTGAGTAGTTTTTTTAATGTCATTTGCTGTATCTCCTGCTTTTTCATTGACTCCAATCAATCTTATGTTATTCTTTGTATTATCTAGAAGCTGCTGGAATAATTTCTTATGTTCCTTTACTATTTTTAAGAAATTTTTGTTTTCATGATCACTAACCACAATTCTGTATTCTATATCTGATATTCTGGTTTGTTCTGCTGTGTATCCTTGCAGTGGAATTTTTAATCTTCTGAATGTCTGAATCTATTTAATGGACTCCATTTCTTTCCTATGCTGGGTATTCATGGTTTCCAGCATTTTCCTGAGGTGTTCTATTTTTTAAAAAATCTGTATCTGCTCTACAGTCATTAAATAAGACATTTTTAAAAACTAGCCCAGATTATGGGGGCTGATACCTTCCAAGATCCACTGTTTGCAAGCTGGAGACCTGAAAAAGCCAGGGATAAAATTCATCCTAATCCAGAAATTCAAAGGAGTTTATGGTGCAAATCTTAGTCCAAGGTCAAGAGAACTAGAATGAAATGTCATGGGGTAAGCAATTAATTAGGCTGAATAAAAAGAGTAGACTTTGTGCTCCTCTGCCTTTTTTCTCTGTATCTAACCCTTCTCTTGATGATCATGTATTTGGGGGAAAGAAATCTCCCATGATGATCTTACCAATTCAAGCTGACTCATAAAATTGATTCTCACACTTAGTGATATTAATCAGGGAAACAGTTGATTATTTGATATTAAACCCTTGTTATTTTCTATAAATAAACTCACTTGTTTAAGCTGTATTGAAAACAAGACTAGAAATTAGGCAATTCATTCAATCATTCTTATTCTAAGAATATCATACCAAGCAATGCTTCAGAATATAGTAAATTCACTGCCTGTGAATTTTCACTTTTCATGACCTATATTTGGGTCCATTTATGCTCCACAGTAGTAGAACCAAAAGAGTATAAGAATCAAGACATGGAATGTTCAACTCTACTTCAAACACTTGTCTTACTCTCTTCTCTAGAATGCTGCATAAAAATGTAGATAGAGGAAAAGAACATAGGAGGGAAATTCCTCACAAAAATGTTTCAAGATAGGCACTAGACTGGATTGGCAGGTACTCTTAAGTCATTTTTAGAAAGTGAAGCAAAGAGCTGTAGTAAATATCAAGTGTCTCTTAGGTGTTAAAATGTGCAGGGGATGAAGAGAGACCAGATATTCCAGTCCTGTTGGATGTGTGTCCTAAGGAACCAATTAAGTCAAAAGAAGTTAAGAGAACACAGAGTTGTGTGGCTCACATACTTAATCCATTCACTGATCAATGTTCATGTCTCAAGTTTACCTTTTCTTTGAACACCATAAACTCTGGTTTTATTGCCTTGGCCTTCTGAGTCCTTGATGCTGCTTTCTCTTTCACATGTTTTCTTAATACATGTTCCCAGTGTGAACTCTTCATGTGCCATGTATTAATTTATAATTATTATACAGAGTCCACTCAAAAAAATACACACTTCAGGAAAAGAAAAACTTGTGTAAATATTTTAAGGTTAAGTTTATTGAGGCATCACAAGATTAATGCAAGTTTCCTTTGACCTCTACAATTACAAAAGGTACTCCAACTGGTGGCCATTAGCATCTAGACATTTTTAGCATGGTGAATGGCTGCTTGGGTAACTTTGGTCATTGAGAATGCTGCACATGAGTTTTCAATTTCTTCTCTAAGGGCTAGCAGTGTAATGGGCTTGCTGTGATATGAAGGAACCCCACCTGATGGAAAAGCATACTATTTTTCTTCTCCTGAAGTGTATATACATTTTTGGTGAACTCTGTATTATTGAGGCCTAAGTCGATATTTATTTATTTTTTCTTTTTATTGAGTTTATTGGTACAATCTAGGTATACAATACAGTTACATTCATCATTGGGATTCTGTACCTTTACATAGTAGGTCTTGCTTCTCATTTTTTCCCTTGTCCCTGCCCTCCCTTCACCCCCTCCTCCCCTCCCCATTTACAAACATTCTATTTCCATTTTTTCAGTTTCTCATATTTTTTTCCTCTTCCTTATTACCTTTCCCCCACCCTTCCCACTTTCCCTATACCTTTAGCCCTTATTTCACATTATTAATTATCTCATTAGGATCCTGTGTACTATTACAGTTTTTCACACCAAAGAAACTATTCGATATTTCAGTTAAAGAAATCTCTGTATGAACATTAAAAATAGGGAATCCTAAAATAAAACTAAAAAGGAAAGTAAAAGAGAAAAGGCAATGATGTAACATTAAAATAATTCTTAATTCTGGAGATGAAAATGGTCCCTGAATATATTTAAATTG